CTGGAGCTTGGGGAAAACCCTTGAAAAAAAGGGCCCCCAAGGACGAGGCACCTTACTTTTCCCTCCCCACATAAACCGAGTGCCCTTTGCGTCTTTGTTGCCGTTTTTTTGGGTTTTTTGGCACAGACAATGCACCTTTTTGGGGCAAATTTTTTTTGTTTTTGAAGGAAGCTGTATTAGGGAAATGTCACCTTCTCTCCTCAAGTTTGGGAAATTTGTGATAAAATTCGAGGACCATTTTGTTTTTGCAGGTTTTTTCCTGGTACTTCTTATGAGTTGTCTGACAACAACAAAAAAAAATTCACCATACGGTGGTCTTTCCCATCTTTATTTGGTACTTTTTATATGCATTTTAGCAATTTTAAATGTCCCTGAGATGGAAGAAAAATTTCATGTACCACTTGTAACTCCTTTCAACAGTCAAAAAAACCAAAACTGCATTTTCACACTTGTCAACCAAGGCATGTTTTTTTGTATAAACAATCACTGACACTGGTTTTCGAATTTTCGTTCATTAGCCTCCCATCAACTTTGCCACGTCTTGCATTTCATACGGGGAAAAAGGTTGTCAACAATGTGACATCTCTTTGTCCCTGCCACCGTAATGCCTTTATGTCACTGGCATTTAAAAACCCCGCAGTCATCAACCCCGAACACCGCGTTGGGGGGCCCGGGCATTTGTTTTTCGATTAGAACGCACTGTGCCACACACATCTGTTCCTTTCACTGCATGAAATCACTGAGTAATGGGGGTTGTGACCAGTTTTTCGGTATATTTGTATGGCCCCTTTCCAAGATAAGGTGCCCCCTTTATGTTTTTTCATAAGTCCCCCTGGAAAAACCCCAAAAACTCTGGTATCTTTTAATGTTTTACTACCCCTGTATACAACAATATCCAACACCAGGCCACTGTCACAATCACAGAGTACAAACCAAATTTTTTACCAAAAACGGTTTCCTCTGCTCGGTTTATATGGGTTGAATGACAGTCTACTTTTGAACAAAATCAAAGACTCGCAAATTTCAAGATTCTTGAATGGTAAAAGTAAATCCGAACTTTTTTTTGAGATAATGGGAAAAAAATTTTTTAATCTTTTATAAACCCGGCACTTCCTTTTACCCGGTTTTTTTCAGAGAATTTCAAAAATACGTAACGTAAGATAAAAACCCGTTCACCGGGGTTTTTTTCATGAAGGATGGGGTTTCAAAATTTCCGATCTGTGGGACCAGTATGCTTTTTTTATTATGCTTTAAAAGACGTGAGGCATAAGCATTATTGTTTTCAAAAAGCAAAAAAACCCTTTCTGCCCAAAAGTCGTCTCTTTCCCCCTGTGTAGTTTTACTGTGGGGAAAAAAGATCATATTTGCCATGGTGTACTGAAAATACTTTTACTTTCCCTGACAATAATTTCCAAACAATTGGTCAAAGAAAAAATTCCAAAAAATTCCCGTTCATTGGCCGTGGTTCCCAAGGGGGGCAGGTAAATAGAATTTCCCCCCTTTGAGAGTCATTTAAAGGTGAGGGCTGGGGAAAAAAATTGGGGTTTTGCCCAAACCCAGTACGATTTGTGGTGGTCTGGACATCATAGGCGGTTGTACGGGTGGTTGTGGCGGGCTGGGGGGTGGAAAGCTCCGCTTTGTCCCCCTTTAACTGACGATCAGCAGCGGGGTCCCCCCCCGTGGGACAGGGGAGTCACCTTTGGCCCGGGGCCACTACCCCACCCGCACCAAAACACCATCCAAAAGATGCCTGTGGGCCCCCCCAAAGCCCAAATGTAGCCCCCTCATCCTCAAATATCACTACCCAAAACGGGTGTAGGGCCACGGGGTGTACTCCGGGTTTTACTCCCGGGGTGTACTCCCCGGGGTGTACTCCGGGATGTACTCCGTCCCCCGGGCACGCATAGGGTACACTACCCCGGGGCGCATGCGGCGGCAACATACCCATGCTTTAATGGTGGGAAAAATGTTTCCCCACCATCCCCAAATCGAATGATCGGGGGGCCCCCCAAAAAAATCACAAACCAAGTCGGAATTTTTGTCATTACTGAAGTCGAGGCCTGGCCACGGGAAAAAATTTTGTTTTTTCTTTCGTTTAGGGAACCAAAACCCCCTGATCACGAGTGGGCCCCCACCAAAAGGGAAAAGGGGCGAGGAAGCGGGGCGGGTTTTTTTGCCCATTATCGTATCCCGGTCATTTTTTCAGTCACAATTATCAAAGCCGTGAATTCGCTTATTTCCCCTTATTCAGTGTCAAACTATCAGGCAGGAAGGGGAGAGTCCCAAAATTTTTTCCCGGGAGTGAGAGCCCGACTTGCGAAGAGGCAATTGGGGGAAAAGGGGGGAATACCGGCGTTCCACAATGCTATGGCAGGGCCTAGATTTTTTTTTTTACGGCGCACACCCACGGCGCGACCCCTTCTCTCACATGTAGGCCTATGAGCACTTTCGCGCTAAATTTGACGGCGCTAGAATTTTGGCGTAGATCTACGGTTTGGACACTCACCGAAAAGCCGTAGATCACGGGACGGACCCTGAAAGGGTTAATTTATATGTTATGTAGCATGTTTAAAATTTATAATTTTTGAAAAAAATCATAGATGGATTAAGCAAAATATCTATATCAACGTTTTATACACATTTAATGCACCTCAGTGATTATTATTGTTATTATCATTATTAATATGGCATCTTCAAGACCAATTGCACTCTTAATGAGTGGCTCTGTGACAGACAAGCAGACAGAAAGACAGACACACAGGTAGACAGAAAGACAGACACACAGGTAGACAGACAGACAGAAAGAAAAGACACACAGGTAGACACAGACACAGGTAGACATAAAGACAGACACAGACATAAAGACAGACACAGGTAACAGAAAGCACACAGGTAGACAGAAAAACAGACACAGGTAGACAGAAAGACAGACACAGGTAGAAAAAAAGACAGACACAGGTAGACAGAAAGGGCACACAGGTAGACAGAAAGACAGACACAGGGAGACAGACAGACAGAAAGACAGACACACAGGTAGACACAGACAGACACAGGTAGACATAAAGACAGACACAGACATAAAGACAGACACAGACATAAAGACAGACACAGACATAAAGACAGACACAGACATAAAGACAGACACAGACATAAAGACAGACACAGGTAGACAGAAAGTCACACAGGTAGACAGAAAGACAGACACAGGTAGACAAAGACAGACACAGGTAGACAGAAAGACACACAGGTAGACAGAAAGACAGACACAGGTAGACAGAAAGACACACAGGTAGACAGAAAGACAGACACAGAAAGACAGACACACAGGTAGACATAAAGACACACAGGTAGACAGAAAGACAGACACACTAGTAGACAGACAGATAAACAGACACACAGAGATACAGGCAGACAGATACAGACAGGTTTATGTGCAACAGTGAAAACAAATAGAGAGTTCGAGAGTAAGAGCCTTTCTTGCCACAATCTCCAGTGCAAGATTCAGACTTCATCTTAGGGGCCATGGTGAAATTTACTGTCCAGTTAGTACAGTTAATACAGTATGATGCTGCTGATAGGGCAGGGTTACTCAAACTGATGCTGCCTGCATGACACATTGCCCCCGCGAGTATTGTCAAATATTGTACAGTGGTGTGCATCAGCCGGCCCAGCCCAGCTGCCAGATACATGGTCGTAAGTCGAGTGGGCGTATGTAGAGTAGGTCATAAGTCGGATGGTAGGTGTATTTGATAATTACAGTGGACCCTCGAGTTTCGGCAGCATCGACTTTTGTGAAATCCGACTTTCAGCAAGTTTTTTCGGCAAAATTTGGCCTCGAGTTTCGTGATTAGACTCGTGATTCGGCGACCATCCGGTACCCGTCCGCCCGTCACACAAAGCCAGTCTCCCATGCCATTCACGCCCAGTGTGCCATTGTTTACCAACACGTGACCATCACCCCGCAGGTTCATTCATAATAATCCATTGTTTTTTGTGATTGCAATTGCTAAATAAGTCACCATGGGCCCAAGGAAATCTAGTGCAAGCCCTTTGGTAAAGAAAGCGAAGAACACGATCCAGAGGGATTCTGAAGGGTTTGAGGCAGACCCTGACCCTGCTGACCCTCTGCCTGTTGTGAAAGGTGTTGTGGCATTGGGCAAGTCCATGGGGTTGGAGGTGAGTGACGGGGATGTGGAAGAGTTGGTGTAGGACCACAGGGAAGAGCTAACCACTGACGAACTGCAAGAGCTTCAACTGGAACAGTATCAGACCACAGCTGAGGAACTTGCTTCAGGAAAGGAGGAAAAGAGAGTGAAGGAGGTGCCTTCTTCGGTGATTAAGGACATGTTCTCAAAGCGGAATGAGTTGCAAAGTTTTGTTGAAAAGTATCACCCTGACCAAGCTGAAACAAGCCATATTTGCAACATGTTCAGTGACAAAACCTTGTCCCACTTCAGGCAAATCATAAAGAAATGCCAGAAACAGACCTCTCTGGACAGATATTTTGTGCGACAGGGGTCCAGTGACTCTCAAGTTGTTCCTAGTGGCATTAAAAGAAGAAGGGAAGTAACCCCAGAAAAGGACTTGCTACCTGAAGTCCTAATGGAAGGAGATTCTCCTTCCAAACAAAAGTGTACACCTTCCTCCTATCCCCTCCTCCTGTCTTCCATCCACCCAGAAGTCTTCAGTAAAGGTAAGTGTAATGTTATTATTATTTTTTATATGCATATACTTGATTTCTGATTGTTTTCAGTATGTAAATCTTTGTTTAACTTGAAAAAAAAATTTATTTTAATATTTTTGGGTGTCTGGAACAGATTAATTTTATTTCCATTATTTCTTATAGGGAAAATGGTTTCGAGTTTCGTGAATTTCGACTTTCGATAGGCTCTCTGGAACGGATTAATCACAAAACTCGGGGGTCCACTGTATTCATCTTTGTCATATAATATACCTTTACTTCTTTCCTATTCTACAGAAAATTAAAGAAAATGTCTTACAGTGAGATGAAATCGCCTCCAAAGATCAGGACATAACTCCCTGCAATGTCCTGGAAAGGAACACGTGCTGCAGGTCACAGCTCTTGATGTCGCAGAACAATAGAAGTGCTTTCCACCACACTGAAAAAAGCACAGTATTGTATTGTGCTAGAGAAACAATAATTATTCCAATGAATTACACAAATTTAGTACAAGAACATTACAGCACTGTACAGAATTGATTATTAGAATTTCTGAGGCCAATTCCTTGGGAAGCTTTGAGAATATGCTGAATAAATGTGCAAGTGGAAAGAGCTGAATTTAATAAGGACCTGCCAATGTACTGCTAAAGTGTAACATTCTAATTATATTTTATATCAACAGCTTCTGAGAATATCAGAACTTTATCCAATGTACAGTCATGTATATACACACCCCTCTGAGTTTTCTACTATCTTCTTACTAGTTCTTGTTCTTGTTTATTTCTGCTCATCTCCATGGGGAAGTGGAACAAAATTCTTCCTCCGTAAGCCATGTGTGTCGTAAGAGGCGACTAAACTGCCGGGAGCAAGGAGTTAGTAACCCACTCTCCTGTATACACTACTAAAGTTAAAAAGAGAGACTTTTGTTTTTATTTTTGGGCCACCCTGCTTCAGTGGGATATGGCCAGTTTGTTGAAAGAAGATGGTAGGATTGCTGGTCCCTTATTTCTGTCTCAAAACATGCAAGATAACAGGTATATATTGCTACTTCTATTTACACTTAGGTCACACTACACATGCATGTACATACATATATATTTAACCCTCAAACTGAACGAACGTAGATCTACATTTTTTCAACATTTGAAAGTATGTAAAAAAAGTAGATCATCTTTTCTTTTTTTACATTTGAAAACGTGTAAAAAACTTTGATCTACGTTTTTTTTTGTTATATTTGAAAATATGTAAAAAAAAATAGATCTACTTTTGAAGCACTACGCATGTGAACATAGATATGCTTGGACAGTTTAAGGGTTAAGCACCCATCTAGGTTTTCTTCTATTTTCTTAAAAGTTCTTGTTCTTCTTTATTTCCTCTTAGCTCCATAGAGAAGTTGAAAAGAATTCTTCATCAGTAAAATATGCATGTCGAAAGAGGCAACTAAAATGCCAGGAGCAAGGGGCCTAGTAACCCCTTCTCCTAAAAACTTTTGTTTTTCTTATTAGGTCACCCAGCCTCAGCAGGATATGGCCAGTTTGTTGAAACAAAGAATAAAAGCCATCAGAAAATCATGTACATAACATGCAATACCAAAACATAAGTGATTAAAAGTGTCAGCAAAATGACTAAGGCACAGTTAAAATGTTATTATGTATAACATACCCTAAAACAGCAGTCATTTGGGCAATCACATCGTGAAGTATGGTCCGTTTCAGAACAAAGGTTACAACGGGGCACCTTGGGGCAATTATTCATCTTGTGTCCAAACTGTCTGCACTGTATGCATCTGTCCATCTGAGCAAAGTACCTCAAGTTAGGTTTGACCTGATAATCTGCTGCAATAATGTGCCAGGCACTTCGTTCATCTGAAAAAAGTTAACGGTATAAAATTCTGCAGTAGTATTACATTTATGGAGGAAGCACTAAACTCATAGAGATCATACAGAACTTAGGGAATGAGAGGCAATCAGACCTGATCCAAGGAAAGAGAGAGTAACTTCAATGTTTTTGATTGAGAGCCCCTCATCAGATAATTCTTCCTTGAAAAGTGAAAAATCCTGAAAATTATTCATCTCCATTAGATGAAAACGGTACATATGCACCTTTACTTTGATCCAGGGTTTTCTTCTGGTAGGTAATTGTTCCAGTCCTGGCCCAGAGTTGTCTGCTGGTAAGTAATTGAATATTCATAATTACTGAAGAAGAGCTATGCTTGTAGTGTCTAGTTTTCTTTAATAAGTGTATATTATTACATATATTTTAATTTCCAGCAGTGAATCACAACCATTCATGCCATCTATCACTATTTGAAACAGTACTTTTTCTTGTCATTTTTACATCTGGTTTTATTTTTATTTGTCAATCTGCTAGTGTAAATAATGAAGTTTTCTTCTTGCTATCTGGTATCTCATATGCTTTTATATATTTGACAGTGGTTATCATGTCTTAATTCTTTCTAACTTTGTAGGTCATTATTTTTTGCATGACATCGGCCATCTCCCAACAAAGTAGGATGACCTAGAAAGGGAAACACATTAACCATCACTCATCCAATAGCTGTCTTGCCAAAAGCGTATGGGCATCACAATTCAAACGATTATTTGAATCACAACATCCCTACCCCTCCTTCAGAGTGCAAATACTGTACTTCCCACCACCAGAATCCCAGCCTTGTTAATTGATTTTTCCCTGAATCCCTTCAAAAATATTACCATTCTCACATCCAATAGCACATCAGTCCATAAAAACCATGCATCTCTATTCACTCCAATCTAACACACTCAAATATGCTTGCAGGAATCTCAATCACCTAACACTTAAACCTCATTAAACCTGCTCCCCCCTCTGTAACCCATTCAGGGTTGGACAAGAGGGGTTTAAATTGTTCATATCAATTTAAAGCAAACAGTGTGTGACGAGAGTCTATACAATAATTTGAGTTTTTTTTAAATAAATAATAGACTGATTCTGAGAATAACTGCTACTGAAAATATTAAGCATGACAGCAAACTACTTTAGACACAGTGATGGTTAACAATAAATATATTAAGCCAGAATGACACCCAAAATTTTCAAAACTCCTCTAAATACAGTGTTAAAAATGTAAGTTTTTATATATATTCGATATTATGTTAACTGTATGTACATTAAGCAAGGTACAGTAGAGAACTAACATTTTACTTACTTGTTTGCTGGTCATGTACTGTTTCTAATTCTAAATCTTCCGATATATCAGAATCATAGAAGTTTATCATATCTTGAGTCCAGAGGTTACAGGTTGGCTTTTTTACTGTGTCAGGTCGGTTTTTTGTAAAATTCAAGCTGCAACGAGTTGTTTGTAAGCCATTATTACTAGTGGAAACCTTAGTTTGTTTGCTGACACAAGTATCTTTTTTTAACTTCAGAATTATACTTGACAAGTCTGTATTAACATTTGTACCCTTTGTCCGAGTTGACAGGCTTAGGACAGAGTCGCTTCTGGAATCACTTGCAACAGTCTCAGGTTTCTTCAGTACTATAGCCTTTTTGTTATTACTGCAAGACTGCTCTAAAAGCAAAACAGAACTATTGTCTCTCAACTTCTTCCTTTGGCTCTCTTTGACTTTGACCCTTTTTTCTAATTCATTACCAGAACCCGACAACACAGAAACCGTATCGTAATGCTTTGAAGATGGAGGTGGAAGTATATGAGCATCACTTTCAGAATCACTTGAAAAAGTCAAATCACAGTTTCTTTTCAATTTATTAACATTTCTGCTCTTTGATTCTTTAGGGGGAAAACTGCTATATCTTGATTCTTCCCTCTCAAAATCAGATGAATCACTGTTCTCACTCTTTGTCATGGTTAACTTACTACTTCCATCTTTCTTACAATCATGAACAGAAATTTTTGTGGTATTGAAAGAAGCATGGGCTAAACTACCTTGTGATTTTTCCCTTTGAAACTCAAATGAATCATGACTGTCACTCAATTTTCTTTTCTTAGTCTTTTCACTTAAATCATCTTTAATTATATGATTTTCTTTTCTTTTTTTATCCAATATGGCCAAATCAATATTTACATCTTCCTCTGTGTCATCAGAAATTTCTATGGTGCAGTGAAGAGAATCTAAGGGTTTAATGCCTGATATATTGCCTGGTATACTTTCTGGTATACTGCCTGGTTTACTGCCTGGAATACTGCCCTTGCTGTAAATACTCTCTCTTACTGATACTGTAGGAGTTTTGCTAGATGAGGCACTAACTGCAAAATCTTCCTGTGTTTTTCCATTTGTCTGATTATCTGCCACAAAAGAAACAACAGAACCAGTCTCTGCTGTAGTGCAGATAGGAGTCGAGTGAGGAGACAAACGAGATCGTAAACCAGAATCTTGTGTATATGTTTCATCATGGTGAAGCTTCCTCTTTTTATTCTCTTGTGAGAGCTCAGGTAATTCACATCTGCCTGTAATAGTTGATTTTTTATAACAGTTTTATTTTAAAAAAACAATTATAGCAGAATTTAGTTTTACATGGATTTTCAAGAACCTTAGTTCTGATATAGTTACCTGGGGAAAAATTTGCAGAAGGGTTTGGGGTAAGAAGAAAAAGCCCATGTAAAAATCTATTCTGAGTACATAGTAAGCATAATTATCAGAGTACGTACTGTATATATAAAATCTAAATTAACTTTAAAACACTTGAAATTTTGGAAAGTTTCCAGACATAATGGAGAGACGCGGAGCTCACGGAGAATGTAAACAAACCAGGTGGAGCACAGTAACCGTATTAGAAAGTCAGGTGGGAGGAGCCGTATTGCGAGTTTTGGTCATAATTTGATATGTCCATATTAGCAGAACACAGCAAGGCAAAATACCGCAAAGCAGGGCCCTACTGTATGTACTGACCAGCATTAGTTATGAGAATATATTGCTTGTTTGTTGTCTAATGATGAGAAGTGAAAATTACTTTATAATGACTTGGGTGATTTCAAAACACCAACTTGAAAAAATGTAAAAATCATAAAAACTTTTGAGGCACTATGCACAATTTATACATAACCCTTTCACTGTCCATCATGTACATCCACATTGTGAGCTCAGCTCACTTAGATAAGCTGTGAACAGTAAATTTTGCCCTAGATATGAGAGGATGGATTTGTGCAGTGAGTGAAGAGAATAAAACAAAATCCTGCCTCAGGGCTGTGGTTTGTACCTCGGGTTGCATGCAGCCAACAGTAACAGCCTGGTTGATCAGGACCTGATCCACCAAGAGGCCTGGTCACAGACTGGGCTGCAGGGGCACTGATCCCTGGAACTCTCTCCAGGTATACTCCAGGTATGGTGCATGATGGGAAAACTAAACTCTGACCACATGTTTGGTTTAAAATAGCTACGTGGAGGTGTTTTCTAGGATGGTTTTTGTGGAAGAAAAATGACTTTAGTTAGCTCCAAGACAAGAAGTAGCTTTAAATTGGCCTCAAAATAGCAGAAATATACGATTTTTTAAAATTTTCCAGAGAATGGGTAAAACCCCCATGCACCCCCCCCCAGTCTGTTTCAGGAGTTTTTACAAGATCTGATTCAATTAATGAAAAATAATGATAATGCAAAGACCAGTAATATATATTTAGTGAACCTCAGGAGTTCAGAATATAAGAGCGTTGGTACCACTATACTCTCAAACATTCCCCTCTTTGCTTTAACAGATAACATTCTTTGTCTCCACAGACTTCTCAGTGCACTACTCGCCCTTTTTCCCCCTCATCAATTCTATGGTTCACCTCATCTTTCAAAGACCCATCTGCTGACAAGTCCACTCTCAAATATCTAAAAACATTCACTTCCTCCATACTCCTTCCCTTCAATCTGATATCCAAACTTTCATTACCTAAATTTTTTTTATCCTCATCACTTCACTCTTTCCTATGTTCACCTTAAAGTTCCTTCTTTTACATACCCTTCCAAACTCGTCCACCAACCCTTGCAGCTTCTCTTTGGAAACCCCTAAAAGCACAGTTTCATCAGCAAAAAACAACTGTGACAACTCCCACTTTGTGTCAGATTCTTTATATCTTAATCCCATGCCTCTTGCCAACACCTGAGCATTCACTTCTCTTACAACCCTATCTATGAATATATTGAAGAACCTTGGTGACATTACACATCCCTGCCTAAAGCCTACTTTTACTGGGAAATAATCTCCCTCTCTCCTACATACTCTAATCTTAGCCTCAATATCCATATAAAAAATTTTAATTGCTTTCAGTATCCTACCACCTATTCCATACACTTGCAACATCTGCTACATTGCTCTCCTATCCACCCTATAATATGCTTTTTCCAGATTCATAAATGCAATGAAGAAATTTTGATCCTAAGATTTTTTTTTTTTTTTTTTTTGACAAACCAGCTGTTTGCCACTGAGACAGGGTGGCCCAAAAAGAAAACAAGAGTTTCTCTTTTTAACTTTAGTAATGTATACAGGAGAAGGGGTTACTAGTCCCTTGGGTGACTTATTTCCACTGGGGTCCTTAATATTTTTTTTTATTTAGGCTCTGCATACACAACATATATTTTTTCACAATGGTTTTGAAAGCAAACAGATATTATGAGCGTGCATAAAGTACAATGAAAGGAATTATTCTTCTTCTTTCAACAAACCAGGGATATCCCACTGAGGAAGGGTGACCACCCAAAAAAAAAAAAAAAGTTTCTCTTTTTAACTTAAGTAATGTATACAGAAGGAGTTACTAGCCCCTTACTCCTGGCATTTTAGTCGCCTCTTATGACACGCATGGCTTACGAGGGAAGAATTCTGTTTCACTTCCCCATGGAGATAAGTGGAAATAAACAAGAACAACAACTAGCAAGAGAGAAGAAAACCCAGAGGGGTGTGTATATAGTATATGATTGTACATGCATGTGTAGTGTGACCTAAGTGTAAGTAGAAGTAGCAAAATGTACCTGAAATCTTGCACGTTTATGAGACAGAAAAAAGACACCAGCAATCCTACCATCATGTAAAACAATTACAGGCTTCCGTTTCACACTCATTTGGCAGGATGGTAGTACAGTACCTCCCTGGGCGGGCGCTGTCCACCAACCTACTACCTAGGCTGACTCTAAGATACCATCAGTAATTCTACCAACATTATAAAGTCAATTTTCTATTCTGCCAATTATACATTATTTACATGCAGCCTCCACCATTTTCTGAATTTATTTTTTCCTCACAAATGTTATGCAATAGCAGATTTTCAGATTACCAAAAAAAAAAAAAAAAATTATAATAATACCTTTATTTACTACATTTACATGGTATACAGGCCTAGCTGGCATCAATGACATACTACTATATAGAAACCCCTTGCTATGCTGAGCATTTCGGGCAAATTAAGTCAGTGTCCCAGGATGTGACCCACACCAGTTGACTAACACCCAGGTACCCATTTTACTGATAGACAACAGGTGTAAAGGAACATGCCCAATGTTTTTACCCTGGCTGGGAATCAAACCCAGACCCTCGCCGTGTGAAGCGAGAGCTTTAGCCACCAGAGCCCTAAATTTTGGTAGCAAATTGCATTTATATATATGATGTATACAAGAACTACCTGAAAATATATTGACTGTGATATCTACTGTCCTCTGTGAGAAAAGCTATGTCATAAATATGCTTTAACCTAGAAAACAAGGACAGGGCATTTTCCTTTAACTTGCTTTTTTCCCCCCTTTCTCTGGGGAAAAATTTTTCATCTATAGCCCATTAAGTCATATGTATACCTTTTGTAAAACACATCTTACTTTATGTTAAGTTTTGGCTCATGCATTAGGATACTTGACTATCAACATGTTTTTTGGAATGAACAATATATACGAGAGAAAATTAAAAAAAAAAAACAGTAAAAAAAACAATTATGCTCCAGATGACATATTACCTCCATGATAATCTGGGTTGGATTCAAAGTACAGCTGAGCATACAAACCACATTCCAGCTCTTCCTCCTCACTACCAAACTCGCTGTCATTGTCAAAGTCTGAGTCTTTACCACCAAATTTGTACCACATTTTTGTCTGAAAAAAATATAAGATTAATTACCTTAAATGAAATGAGTAGGAAAACTGAATTGGCATTACAAAAAACTAGCTGTAAATGTCATTTTCAATTAGCTTTGTTTTAAATAAGTACCATTCAGCAGTTATTTTCTGGGACACTTCTAAACATATCACAGAAAAAAGACTGAAAGTGAAAGACAATTTATGAAATTCATTCTTCTTCTATGAAACAAGGACATACATTTTTATGTAACACATCAGCAGTCTCTCAAGTAGGTAGGATGGCCAACAACAACAAAAAGTGTGCTGACATCACAGTTCAGATGGCCCTGAAAGCTGCAACATCCTCACCCCTCCTATAGACGGACATGCATATATACAGAATATATTTTTAACCTGATTATTATGGATACCAATGATCTCACTGACATTACCAAGTCATAGATTGGCCACGAGAAGTCTCCAATGGATTCATACTGGCTATTATACATCTCCATCATATATGATATTTGGAATATGATGCTCAAACAATAATCCCACCTAACCTATCCTTACCTATATAAAGAATTATAGCTGGGTTAACTCATTATATTTTAAAAAGTCACAGATTTCTGCCTCCTCAATAACTCGCTACCACTGCTAATTTGCAAAATTTGCAACACCCTCTGGAAACTGCTACTACTAGACTTAGTGAATAACTTTCCAAATAAATACTGGATATTACACTACAATCTGTTCTAGTTTTACACCAAAATGTACTAACTCACAGTTCAGTTGTAGCATGTTGGTTTCACAAATTGAGGACCTGGGTTCACTTCCAGGTGAGAAGACACATTTAAGTCTCCTTACACCTGCTGCCATTGTTCACAAAGCAGTACATTAAATAAAAACCTCAAAGATATACATAGTAAACCATGCAGATAAATGGTTCCGAGAACCGACAAGTTGATAAATTAGACACATGTGCAACACTTGGGTATCTTTATTGAGGAAACGTTTCACCACACAGTGGCTTCATCAGTCCATACAAAGGAGAACAGCGAAGAACAGGAGTAGTTTGAGGTAATCAGTCCCTCAGCCTTGAGTCGATGTGGTCAGTCCATCAATTTCGAAAAGAATACAGCTTATGTGCGAGGAAGTAGCTTATATACCATAGGCAGGAGAGGTGCAGCAGTCATAAGTGGTATCACATTTGTCCAATGTGGAAGTAGGTCATGCCTAAGAGTTAGGCAAGTGAAGAATTCCCTGTATTAAGATCCCAAGATGTTGCTGTGTCAGACAGGAATGTAGATGAATGATTGAGAGAACCGACAAGTTTATAAATTAGACACATGTGCAACACTTGGGTATCTTTATTGAGGAAACATTTTGCCACACAGTGGCTTCATCAGTCCATACAAAGCCACTGTGTGGCGAAACGCTTCCTCAATAAAGATACCCAAGTGTTGCTCATGTGTCTAATTTATCATAGTAAACCATACCACGGGTGGGGCTTGAACCCGCAGTTGGAGTCGTAAAACTCCAGACCGACGCGTTAGCCACTGGGCCAGTTGGCTACAATAAGATTCATCCAACTAGGTATATTTTTACACCATAGGAAGGTCAGCATAGACACCACTGTGACCACAAACGCAAGTTTTACAGAAGAAATCTTCCGTCAGCATGGCCGTGACGAACTCTAGCTCAAGTCCCCTCATTATTATTATTATAATCAAGGGGGAAGCGCTAAACCCGGAGGATTATAAAGCGCCTGGGGGGGGATGTGGAAGGCATTCAGGCTTAATTCGGGGAACTGGAGCACAGATCCAATTCCCTAAATCAAGAGCCCCTCACCAACATCAAGGAACCTTCCTTGAGGGGTAAAGTCCCCTCAAAGTTGTCATCATGACGGCTTAATTTTACCTATGTGTACCTACATTAAATAAACTTGTTCCCCGGATCAAGAGCTCTTCGCCACCTCAACAGAGAATCCTTATATATAAAAATCCTGACATCCTCTCAGAGAATCCCCATATATAATAGTTAATTTAAGTACAAACCAAAAGCTAAATGATTAATTACCAAACCCAGATCAACTGCATCCAGCAAAAGTTAAATGGCACATGTAATAATAATTCCATATTATTTTGTGTGCCTGAGAGGTGATTAAACATGCTAGGAGTTAACAGCAAACATGCTGTTCCTCTTCTAACATGGCTGCCACGTTGTTGTTCGGGGGTTATAGGACCACCACATCTCACGCCGTATTGAACCCTGCCTAACACCTGAGGTTCCTGGGTTGATAGTATATCTATATTTCTACATGTACAAGGTATAAAGACCATAGCTGACATCAGTGACATACTACTATATAGAAAGACACTTGTTATGCAGAGCATTTCGGGCAAATTAAGTTAATTTTGTCCCGGGATGTAATCCACACCAGTCCATTAACACCCAGGTACCCATTATTACTGATGGGTTAACATAGGCATCCGGTGCAAGGAAACATGCCCAATGTTTCCATCTTTACACAAATAACTCACATAAGAGGGGAAGCTCACGACGATGTTTCGGTCCGATTTGGACCATTTACAGTCACAAGTCGGACTGAAACGTTGTCGTGTTCTCCTTTGTGCTCATTATTTGTGTATTGTTCCAGTCACGGTATTGCTTTTTTGTTATTTTTACCCTTGCCTGGAATCGAACCCTGACATTCAGCGTGTAAAGCGAGAGCTTTGCCTACCAGGCCATAAACCATCCTTACCAAGATACGAGCCACCCTACTTTATTTCAGTATGATACAATGTTTGTATAGAGGTGAATGACATGTAGGAGTGCATGCAGAAATAATATCTTTATTTACTACAAGTACATGTTATACAGGCCTAGCTGACATCAATGACATACTGCTATATAGAAAGCCGCTTGTTATGCAGAGCATTTAGGGCATACTTAAGACTGACCTCACCAGGGGCTGTGGTTTTGCCCCTGGTGAGGACAGCATCTACCTCATATTCGGTATATAAGATATCACACTCATCATGGTGTCTATTTAGCATAAATTGGCCAAGATTACATCTGTGATTGGACTTTCTTTCCAAGTTCTCATTGATAAATTAGTTTAGCATCATATTATTAAGTTTAACCTAATACTGTACCTTATTCAAAAGTCTAGTTGCAGAGTCACAGTCAGTCTTATAATTGCAAGCATTGATTCTGATATCAACCTTTTATTTAATGACATACATGCATCGAACAGCAACTGTAACTATTATACAGCAGACCAAGCAAAGACATTACTCAGAGCCAACAACATAACTATTGTGAAAATTTGTTTGGACTGCCTCCAAGTGAGTCACCTACCCTGGCAAACTCTGTTGACACCGAGCTCTGAGGTCAGTACCTCAGCCTCACAAGTGGCTTATAGGACAGATTTTCACAAATGATTGATGTTGCAAGAAACTCGCCTGCATGCACGTATAAAGGACTAACTTGCTTGGTGTTGCGGCATATATCCTGATCTTCAACCTTCCTAAGCTTAGCCCCTTTGGACTTCCCCTCAGAAACCACGTGCAACCGGGAACTTTAATTCCTGCAATATTCAATCGGTATTAGTGACCTGCCTGCACCTCAGAAATTCCTATATCCAAGGGGGTGTGTATCCCCTAGTACAACTATGCAGACACGGACACTAGCTTCTAGGTAGACAAGAGACACTGGTACGTACTGGGCATGCACTGCCAGTTGCATACAGGCCTACAGTTCAACTCACTCACAATTTTTCCCCAGACACTGGCCAGAAATCCTAAGAGAAAGTGGAGGTTTTGTCTTACTGTATGGGCCTGATGGAGGAGGTCATCTACGGTACATCGAGGTGCCTCTACCACATTTCCCCAGGTCTCAAATGTGAAGACACGTGGGGGGCGCCGTCTGCTGATCACTGCACGTGTTTTCCAGTTGGTGTCTGTCTACAGAAGTTAGAGCTCATGTCTTCCAGACCCACGCCTCATCCTTCAAGCTAGGGCTGCCAGTTCTCCCTAGCTAACTTAACCTAGTGTTTGCCTACATTATCGGCCTATTACTACCTATGTTAAGGTCTTAGGTCTACATTATTATTATCTACAGTTGCCTTAGTGAACCTAATATTAGTGTACTACCAGTAAAACTACCTACTCCTTCCCTGAAGGGTAAATCTATAACTTAAATAGTGCTTACCAACCACGCCAACTCGGGGAGAACGCTTTTTGTTTGGGTGGGTTTAAGGGCCACCCAGCTCAGCCGTTCCATTACGGCCATTCTGGGACCCCCTTTGTACGCCGTATCTGTCCTGTGGAACTTTAGGGACCAAATAAATTTCCACATCCTCCCACCGGCGAAGGTAGGTACTAGGTCTAAATCAAGTTAACCTTCCACGAGCCCCCATGGCGGACCCTGGACACGAGTGCCATCCGGCCACTCTCGTCGAGCAGACTCCAGTCTAACTTCAACCGTCCAGTTTCCCCTGCGTGGACCTCTGGGGGTGTAAACTTGTTGGTTCCGGTGGTCTTAGCACCCTTTCCTTTAACTTTAACATCTTTCGTATGTCTAGCCTTGACTGAGCGGCTCCATACTTTCCCACCCAGTGGCCCACATGCCCTGGTAGCCTTTCGTCCCACTGATACGAGGTTCCCTGGATTTAATGGCAATCTATCTCCCTCTTTACGTACCCTGTACAAGTGTTTTCCCAAGGTGGCCGAGTGTTCGTCACTCCCTACCTGGTTCAGCTTCCCTGGCGGTTCATCGTGTATACTGGTATTCATTATCACTACTCCCCCAGCTATCATGGGGACAGCTTCTCCTCTATCTGGTGTGGCAGGGAATTCAGGTGGAATCCTGCCGCCTATGATGTATCCTACTGGGGATCTGTATAAACCAATTCCTTCCTTAAACGTCCGTCGTGTAGACAGGAAGTCATCTATATGATTGGCTCCCACCAGGATACCTACATTTCTGACTGTGTCAGTGGTAATTCCCTGGTCTGCCAGCTTCATGTCAAGGTCTTTCAATCGCTTAGCTGCTGCAGCAAGACCTCTCGCTGTAATTGCTGTGGGTAGCGTCTCTACCACCAAGGCTGTAATGTCTCTGCGATGTCCACCTAATTTGACTGTGACATCCACCACATCATAAGATTTGTGTGGGACCTGACTTATAGCCCCTCCCAACATCATACTAACTTTCTTTGTGGCCTTCAACTTTAATTTAGCCACCAACTTCTTTGTTATCAAGGATACTTGTGCTCCTGGGTCAAAGAAGAATCGGGTTGTTTCGGACCTGTGCCCATTCACAACCTTTGCCATGACTGTAGGTAGGGCAGCACCTCCGTGATTCTCACTCGGATTAGAGACTTCACTCCCACTAATCAGCTTGGCTACCATTTCAGGCTCGGACTCACTTTCTATCTCTACCTGAGAGATATCCCTACTAGCCTGGGGTTCCCGTAAATTACTGGGACATAGTGCAGTATGGTGCTTACCTTTGCAACAGACCCGACACTCACTGAGCTGGGTGCCACAGTCTCTCGCAAAGTGTTCCCCACAACACTTGAAGCAGAGTCTCAACTCCCTTAGTCTCTGTTGCCTACTGCTCAGTGTTGTATACTCCGGGCAACTCGTGCTAGCGTGTTCGCCTTCGCAGAACACATATTCTGGCATAAGTGCCTCTAAGGTTCTGCTTAGAGGTTCTTACCTTAGACACTTCTTTACCATAGTACACTACAACGTTAGTCGTACGAGCTTTAGACTGATCTCTCGAGATCTTTGAGTAACTTTCTGAGTTTTTATGTGGCGATGGTGGTGACTCTTCTCTCACACCTATACTCAAATGAGAAACGAGATCTCCCAACCCCTCAACAATTTGTTGTATCGTGAACCTATTCGTCCGATATTTTAAGTGTAACTCATGCACTGTAGTGCCAGCCAGTTTCCTCTGAATCACCTGACTGATGAACCATTCCGACTTACCCCAATCATGTAAATCTTTAAGACTATTCGTCAAAATCATAACTTCAATTCGGAACTTCTCTAGGCTCTGACGGCCATGGCGACAAGCCTCTAGATCCAACAACTGATAAAGTATAGCTACCTTTATCTCCTCAGTGTTGCCAAACGTGTCCTTTAATTGGTCTTTGGGATGTTGGTAATTGGTGTCGGTGGTTTGGTAATGCCGGACCAAGTCCAAGGCTTGAGCTGTGAACGTAAATATTGTAATTTGATGGCATCTGACAAATCGTCTCTGTCATCTATCTGGGCTTTAAACTGATCCCAGAAAGCAATGTACTCTGTTAAGGTTCCGTCGAACGTTGGTAAATTCAACTGGGGCAATCTGGGCAACACATTAACAGGCGTGCTGTTGTTCATGTTCCTTGAAACATTTGCTGCCCCTGCTGTACCGGCCTTCAAAGTCTTTATTAACTGCCTGCAGAGTCTCATCTCTGCTTTACACTCTGCCCTTCGTTCGTCATAGTCCGTCCGTGCTACTTCGACTGTATATTCAGACTCACCTGTAGTATAGGCCTCTGTCTCATAAAGGATAAAAGATCTCTCAAAGGCCTCCAGTCTTTGCTCCAAAGGTTTCAGGCAACTCTCTAGTTCCTCCCAGTCTACGTCCTGATCTTGCCTGACCATACGACACTCCTCACATGCTTTGTTCAGGCGTCCCTTATAGGCTCCCATAGACCGCTTTAATTGACTTAGCGCTGGGACAGCTGGTACTACGTCTTCACCTACCATAGTTGCGGTTTAGTTAAGATCACGGTACTAATTTGTACTTCAATTAGCCCACCCCACAGCACGAACGGTATTAGGCAAGAATGAACGAGTCTCAAGGCTTCTCAACAAGCTTGACAACTCCCTTTATTATATTGACTCTACTCTGAATAAAAAATGTACACTGTTAGCTCTCAAATCCCAATCGAAATGTGTATCGATGTGAAAGCTTAACCTAGCAATTTCCTGTACAAAGCCAGCAAATAATTACAGGACTTAACCTAATCTCAGGTACAATTCACAAATCCCACATTAAAATGAATCAAAGACAATGAAAATCACACAATAAAAATGCAGTATACAAATTAAAAAATCACTTAATTCGCACAAGTAAATTCAACAATTCAACTTGTGAAACAGTAAATGAATAATGTATGTAAATAGCTTGGCCTAACTGCCCAGTTTACTCTGTCTAGCGTGGATGGTTGGATAAGGTAAATCCTAACCTAACTAGTGTGCTATAACTTAAACCTGGCTTTTAGAACTCCCTGTAAATAATAACTAGGTTAAATCTGGCCTAGCTACTATAACTTGTAAATATTGCACAAGCCTAGCCTAACTGTGGCTACCTTGCAAATCCACTGTAAGTAATTAACACACAAGTCTCCTACTCTGGATTACTTGTAATCACTGTAAATAATTAAATTCACAAGCTTCTCTAGCCTACCTGGCATGCCTGTAAATTACTGCAAATAATAACTTCTGTGTATAGTCGAAGTAGGTCTTCGTCCAAAGGTTGAACAAGTGTTGAAGAATTCTTTGTAACAAGAATTCTTCAACACTTGTTCAACCTTTGGACGAAGACCTACTTCGACTAGTGGATGGTACCACTATGACCCCGCCTCCACCTGCTTCACGTCACCTCACTACAGTATATAAGCCACGTCTACGGCCCTATGCTGTACATTCTACAAGATTGATGGACTGAACACATCGACTCCAGGTTGAGGGACTGATTACCTCATTCTCCTCCTCTCCTTACGCCTTACTCTTTGTATTGGACTGATGAAGCCACTGTGTGGCGAAACGTTTCCTGAATAAAGATTCCCATATGCTGCATAAGTGTCTCAATCTTCAACTTGTCGGTTTTTCAAACCATTCATCACAGGATCCCAACTGTTTTGGATACTTTTTTGGCTATATGCTGGATGGATGACAGAGAATCAGTTACAATTAAACTGTCAATCTTTGATACATAGATGCATTTCAGTGCAAGAGTATGACAAACAGTTCTGTCTGAGGGGTAGAGGCCCAATTATTGATGAAGGAAATAGAAATTGTAATATATAAGGAGGTCGTGGTGGCCCTATAATCCCCCAACAAAGAAGACTGAGCGGGACGGTGTGAACCTCGGTGATCTTCCCCACAGTTATCCCCTCAGGAAGGAATAATGGCAACTGCGAGTGAGAGAATAGATCCACATAAGGTTCAAGAGAGCTTGGAAGTTTTCTGCGCCCAAACCGAGAAAAGACTGGAGGAGTTGGAAGCGTCAGTAGGACAGAGATGTGAGACTGTGGCCCAGGATGACATCCCTGATCTGATGAAGACCAAGCTGCACCTGCAGAGTCAGATTGAAGCTATAATAAACTCTGATTTAGTGGAGCTACCCAATGACAGCCACTTACTGATCAAGGTGGCCAAGGAAGAGGCTGAAACTATGGCCAATGATAATGCAAGAACTCTGTCTCATTACAGAGAAAAGGTTAGCGTTCTGCAACCTGTAGGTTCTTACTGGAAATATTTTACTTTATTTCCTTCAGGAGTGGTGTCTGGATGCAGGGAAAGGGCTTTGATCCAAGGAATTGGAGCTGTCCTCCCCATTCTCTGATTAAACCTGATAAACTCCTTTTATTTTGGTCCCCAAGCTCTTTATCACAAATTCAAACGTGAATATAATATTATTGTTGTGTTATGCTAATTTAAATGTTAATAATTTAATTACTTTGCCTATAATACTCGAGTAATTTTACAAGTCCTAAGCCAGTCTGTTCACACTAACCATTGTGGGTTAAATTAGATTTTATTAAGCTTATTACCCTGAAGGGTTATTAATCCAGGATAACTCAAGAAAGCCACTCAGTCTGACTTATTTCCACTGAGGTGCTTTGATCCTCTTCCCCAGGATGCAACTCACTAGTCATACAAAATCCAGGCACTTTCTGCTGGGTGAAAGGGTAACAAGTAATTACGTTTACATAGTGATATACAACACTGATAAATTGATGTATTAGACACGTGTAACACCTGGGTATCTTGATTTTGAAGACATATCACTAACCAGTAATTTTTTCACTTCATTACAGAGCTATATAGAGAGATAAATGGTATTTAAAATTCTTGCTCATATTTTTTTTTTACAGTTGATGAAGTTAAAAGAGGAGAAAAACATGTATGAAGAAATGATAAAGAAAGCAACTCTTGTTAATGAACAGCTGGACCAAATACTTAATAAGAGATCAGAAAAGGACAAACTTGAACAAATAAGAAGAGGGTATTATATATATTGTGTTGTAATTCATTTTCATGATGGCAATATTTTTTTTTTTTTGTTATGGGAGGTTAAGGATAGATAATGGTCACAATACAGTGGCTTGAATAATTGACAAATAATCCATACTTTTAAAACAGAAAAAATGACTGATGTACATATATGAAATCTTCATACTGGGTAATTACCTATATATAGCTTCTGAAGCTTGTGGTGTACCTTCATTAATAAGTTCATATTTTATGAATTTCTATTGGTTGTAGCACTTACTATATACCTCCATTTCAATTTATTCCATTTATCTACCAATATATTTATATAAAAAAAAATCCCAGTATGCTGTCTCTTGGACGCATTTTGTACATCTGACATTTTTTTTTAAGGCATGGACACTATAGAGAAGTTTCGTTTTCCAGTTTTGGTGTAATATATGCAAACAGCTTTTATAGTTAGTCATTGTAGCATATATATATATTTTTTGCAATTTCATTTAGATTATATAATCTGGTGACAATTTTTTATTAATAATAATAACTCCTAGATATCTTTCTTTGTATGATACTCCCAAAAATTTTTCATACGTTCAGTATTCTTTATATTTTCTGATTCCGTTTTTTTTCATTATGTGACATTTTTTAACTTTAATATTATTATCAAACGTCTTTTGGCAATTTTTTTTATTCTAATACAAAGCACATGTATCTTCCTAAAATCATTAGAAGTCTCCAACTGTTTATTTAGCATTTGTTTTAATGCCTTGTTTTAATAGACTTATCAATTCAGGTATGAACGATCAGCAGTTTTCTTCCGATTGCTGCGCAGTCAACTGCAGGTTATACTCGCAGAGTTTTATCCAGGTGACGTAAGTATTTTGTAACTACTGTATTTACTTGGGAGTGGATATACTATGCTGTATATAGCAATACAGAAATGCTATTATATTGGCAAACTCTCTAACTGGTTGTTGTTGTGGGGGTTGGGGTTTATAGGACCACTGACAGCTTGCACTATATTGAGCCCTGCCTTTCAGTACCCAGAAGAGAAACCTTGACCAAAGTGGAAGAATGTAATGATGTTGGTAGAATTACTGGCAGTGTTAATCAAAAGGACACAAGTGCAACTAATTATATTTTTTATTAACACATCGGCCGAGTCCCACCAAGGCAGGGTGGCCCTAAAAAGAAAAACTTTCATCATCATTCACTCCATCACTGTCTTGCCAGAGGGGTGCTTTACACTACAGTTTATAAAACTGCAACATTAACACCCCTCCTTCAGAGTGCAGACACTGTACTTCCCATCTCCAGGACTCAAGTCCAGCCTGCTGGTTTCCCTGAATCCCTTCATAAATGTTACTTTGCTCACACTCCAACAGCACATCAAATATTAAAAACCATTTGTCCCCATTCTTTCTTTCTTTCAACACACTGGCTGTATCCCACGTAGACGGGGTGGCCCAAAAGGAAAAACGAAAGTTTCTCCTTTTACATTTAGTAATATACACAGGAGAAGGGGTTACTAGCCCCTTGCTCCCGGCATTTTAGTCGCCTCTTACAACACGCATGGCTTACGGAGGAAGAATTCTGTTCCACTTCCCCATGGAGGTAAGAGGAAATAAACAAGAACAAGAACTAGAAAGAAAATAGAAGAAAACCCAAAGGGGTGTGTATATATATGCTTGTACATGTATGTGTAGTGTGACCTAAGTGTAAGTAGAAGTAGCAATACGTACCTGAAATCTTGCATGTGTATGAGACAGAAAAAAAAAAAGACACCAGCAATCCTACCATCGTGTAAAACAGTTACAGGCTTCAGTTTTACACTCACCTGGCAGGACGGTAGTACCTCCCTGGGCGGTTGCTGTCTACCAACCTACTACCTAGGTTGTCCCCATTCACTCCTATCAAATATGCTCACGCATGCTTGCTGGAAGTCCAAGCCCCTCGCACACAAAACCTCCTTTACCCCCTCCCTCCAACCTTTCCTAGACCGATCCCCTACCCCGCCTTCCCTCCACTACAGATTTATACACTCTTGAAGTCATTCTGTTTTGTTCCATTCTCTCCATGTGTCCGAACCACCTCAACAACTCCTCCTCAGCCCTCTGGATAATAGTTTTGGTAATCCTACACCTCCTAATTTCCAAACTACGAATTCTCTGCATTATATTCACACCACACATTGCCCTCAGACATGACATCTCCACTGATTCCAGCCTTCTCCTCGTTGCAACATTCATCATCCACGCTTCACACCCATATAAGAGTGTTGGTATAACTATACAGCACTCTAATACATTTCCCTCTTTGCTTCCACAGACAAAGTTTTTTGTATCCACAGACTCCTAAGTGCACCACTCACCCTTTTCCCCTCATCAGGTCTATGATTCACCTCATCCTTCATAGACCCATCTGCTGACATGTCCACTCCTAAATATCTGAGTACATTCACCTCCTCCATGCTCTCTCCTTCCAATCTGATATCCAATCTTTTGTCACCTAATCTTTTTGTTATCCTCATCACCTTATTCTTTCCTTTATTCACTTTTAATTTTCTTCTTTTACTAATGTGACATTTTATTGTGGCAATGTTTGATAATGGCTTGATAAAGCTCCTGGAGAGCGAAACATTGCCACAATAAAATGACACATTAGTTGCACTTGTGTCCCTTCACCTAACAAAGTGAAAGAAACTTGATTAATGGCTGTACGTATTATAGGTCCCCAATGCGCCCTGAAGCCAACAAGAAACTACAGATACAGGCCAGGATTTCCTGATGGTCTAGAGGGTCAAACCCCTCCCCATTAAGGAGAGGTAGGGTCAAAGATTGCACCCCTAATGTGCACAAGGCCGCAGGGAGGAGAGTCCATGAAGGGTGGTAATGGAGACATGTACCGCTGACTTGTTAACTGATGCTTTCTGATTGATCTTTGTCATACAGTATGTCATCTCTCATTCCTCTTTGAACATAGAAAAAATTTGTTTGGTGTAAGTAAACAAAAAACTTAATTTCATAAATCATTCTGATACAGATTACACAAATAAACTGCACATAGGAAAGAGGAGCTTACAATGATGTTTTGGTCTCACTTTGACCATTTACAAAGTCACACTTTGATGAAGATACATATTTAATAAGAATACGTTTTGACATGAGTGGCAAAGAAGCTACTCATGGCAAAACATTTTATCTATAATTTGTCAGTATGACCATACCATATTCTTCAAAACCCATTTTAAGAAACTTGTGTTTCATACAGAACTTTCTGACTGGTTTAGGCATATGAGATGATTTGGTGAAGTTCATTGATTGCTTTTGGCATATGAACCTTAAAACATTTTCAAAAATACCCAGTATAAGTCAGTAAGTTTATTCCGGTATACACAAATACAGTTACATAGATTATCATACATAGCAGCATATGTGTAAAGTAGCTAGAATAACCCATAAAAGTCAAACAGAGTGACTTATTTCCATTGGGAGTGAAAAGTCTGTACTTCACACCCTAACCTAAGGTAATATAAAGGCTTCTAAGTTGCATGAAATAAAGAAATTCCTCAGCAGTGAGCTGTATAGCCCTTGTGGCTTAGCGCTTCTTTTTTATTATAATAATAATAATCCTCAGCAGTGAAATGTGAAACATGTTACACTATACTTGTCGCTACTGCTTCAGAAATCATGATGTTATTTGCCTCGGTTTATTCAACTACTGTACTAGGAAAGCTTGCCAGCTCAGTAGTATTTCTGTACTATATGGTAAGCACATTATAATAACCACTATGTACTTACCAGTTTACTTTTCAGTTAAACCATGAAAAAAACAGTTTTCTGAATAATCCCCAGACCTAAAACCAATGAAGTGTAGGGTATACTTGCAGGAAAAATTTTTTTTTTTTTTTTTTTTTTCAACAAGTCGGCCGTCTCCCACCGAGGCAGGGTGACCCAAAAAAGAAAGAAAATCCCCAAAAAGAAAATACTTTCATCATCATTCAACACTTTCACCACACTCGCACATTATCACTGTTTTTGCAGAGGTGCTCAGAATACAACAGTCTAGAAGCATAAACATATAAAGATACACAACATATCCCTCCAAACTGCCAATATCCCAAACCCCTCCTTTAAAGTGCAGGCATTGTACTTCCCATTTCCAGGACTCAAGTCCGACTATATGAAAATAACCGGTTTCCCTGAATCCCTTCACTAAATATTACCCTGCTCACACTCCAACAGATCGTCAGGTCCCAAGTACCATTCGTCTCCATTCACTCCTATCTAACACGCTCACGCACGCTTGCTGGAAGTCCAAGCCCCTTACCCACAAAACCTCCTTTACCCCCTCTCTCCAACCCTTTCGAGGACGACCCCTACCCGCCTTCCTTCCCCTATAGATTTATATGCTTTCCATGTCATTCTACTGTGATCCATTCTCTCTAAATGACCAAACCACCTCAACAACCCCTCTTCTGCCCTCTGACTAATACTTTTATTAACTCCACACCTTCTCCTAATTTCCACACTCCGAATTTTCTGCATAATATTTACACCGCACATTGCCCTTAAACAGGACATCTCCGCTGCCTCCAACCGTCTCCTCGCTGCTGCATTTACCACCCAAGCTTCACACCCATATAAGAGTGTTGGTACTACTATACTTTCATACATTCCCTTCTTTGCCTCCATAGATAACGTTTTTTGACTCCACATATACCTCAACGCACCACTCACCTTTTTTCCCTCATCAATTCTATGATTAACCTCATCCTTCATAAATCCATCCGCCGACACGTCAACTCCCAAGTATCTGAAAACATTCACTTCTTCCATACTCCTCCTCCCCAATTTGATATCCAATTTTTCTTTATCTAAATCATTTGACACCCTCATCACCTTACTCTTTTCTATGTTCACTTTCAACTTTCTACCTTTACACACATTCCCAAACTCATCCACTAACCTTTGCAATTTTTCTTTAGAATCTCCCATAAGCACAGTATCATCAGCAAAAAGTAACTGTGTCAATTCCCATTTTGAATTTGATTCCCCATAATTTAATCCCACCCCTCTCCCAAACACCCTAGCACAATTATACATCTTGGTATGTCTGCTAGTTATTTCAGAGATCGTTATCCCTACTTGCAGGTTTCAGACCAGAGTGTATATTAAGTATTAAGTAAAAGTTTGCAAGGTTTACCTACCACCTTGCATTTTTGAGTGATAGAAAAATACAGCAGTCTTGCCAGTAGCAAACATTTAAGATTAGAGGTTTCCATTTTACACATATGGCAAGATGGTAGTTCCTCCCTGGATGATTCCTGTCTACTAGCTTATTACCTGACTTATTATACAATAGTAGTATGTCTCCTCTTAATGTATTGTATATAGTGTAGTATGATTTGAATATTTGACAGAATAGGTAATGTATATTATCTTTTAATGTAATTGCTACATATGTAGTTATTACTCTTTATATACTAATTCCTTTATTATGTACCATTGCATTCAAGATATTCCCTTCCAGATACACCTTGATGCTGGTGAAAGGCTCTTGATCCAGAACTGTTTACCTCATATTCTCCAGTCCTTGTGTAATTCCTATAGTATTCATGTTTCCCCACAAATATAATAAGGATACAAAATACTGTAATTATCTCTTTTGCCAAATTTAATTTTTATCATTTGATTAATTTGTATTTTTCAGGGAGACAAGATAACAATGGAGAACCTACTAGAAAGCTTGGTCACAAAGATGCTACATGACCAGAATGACCCTTACGTTGACATTGATGACACAATGAAAAGTAGCCACATAGAGCTGCTGCTTCGTGTCAACTTGATCACCAGACACCCTCAAAACATCATGAAAATTAGATTTGTGGATCCTAGATATTAAATGAGAAATGGTGATTTTGTAGATAAGATTCTTATACAGTCTCTCCTCACTTAACTACTTAATGTCTGTAAATGAATTTACCGCTAAGTGAGGGGCATTCTATAATGGTAAAGGGTTTGTGTCAACCATTTCTGATATTGTTTAAATGTAACCTTTGCACCATTTATTGTAATAAACAGAAAAGAGGAAATCAGCTCTAATATACAAAATTCAGGTATGCATACTGGTCAGAGAGCCCGTCATAAGCCCGAGTCATCGGTAAACGAGTACGCCACTAAGCGAGGAGAGGCTGTACACGTATTTCTGTATTGTTCACGTCAAAATGTACTGTTCATAAAATAAAACAAAAATCGTTGATCCATTCCTGATTCATTAGGTTCTGTATTGGTGCCCCGTAGCCTTCTGTATAATCATAAATTTATTTTTTTCAGGGGGTGCCCTAATACTGGTGAAGTGTTCTTGATCCAGAGAATTGGAACTACCTTCTCCTTTTATCAAACCCGATTAATTCCCATTTCCCAGACACTGTATGATCCTACTAGCTTAGCATTTTCCCATAAATGCTCAATGTAATAATTGTAAGCTTAAGACAGTTATCACAATCATTCTGTCCAACTTATGTCTTTTTCTGTTTTTTCAATATTACATGCACAAATAAATCAGCTGTATTTTTGTTTTTTGTTTTTTTTTGCCCAGGTTAGCCTTAATTTATATCAGTTCTTGTTACCCAACCCCTCAAGGGAAGTTCCTTGATGCTGGTGAGGGGCTCTTGATCTAGGGAATTGGATCTTTGCTCCAGTTCCCTGAATTGAACCTTAATACCTTCCATTCCCCTCCCCCTTACAGGCACTGTATAATCCCAATGGGTTTAGCACTCCCCCATGATTATAATAATCTTGTTACCCAAACAGTAGCACACAATGTCACGTACCCCTTGGAACAGCTTTGTGCAGTGTCGTCATGGCCTGTACACCTTAGGTGAGGTTCCTTGATACAAGGAATTAGACCTGTCCTCTCTTTCAGTTAAACCTGATTACCTCCAATCTCCCAGGTGCTGTATGACCCCTAAATGTGTAGTGCTTCTCAATAATTTTTTTTTTTTTTAACAAATTGGCCATATCCTACTAGGCAGTGTGACCTAAAAGAAAAAAAACAAAAGATTTTCTTTTTAAATTTAGTAATTTATACAGGAGAAGGGGTTACTAGTCCTTTGCTCCCGGCATTTTAGTTGCCTCTTACAACACGCATGGCTGTGACTTGTAGCTTGTGACTGACTTGTGAACCATGGATTTTACCTTGTGCCAATGAAAAATTCAACAATTTTATAGTATTTCAACCCTATACCAGCAATTATTTATGCAATTTGCCTTAGCCATTTAGAAGACATAAATTCTTATTTAAAACATTCATTTTTTTTATATAACACACTGCCTGTTTCCCACTGAAGTAGGGTGATAAAAAAAAAAAAATACATTCATTGTCATTTACTCAATTCCTGTCTTTCTAGAAGTGTGCCGACATTACAGTTGGAATCCCCACCCTCTCCTTGGGGGGAAGGGGGTATTAAGCAAAGAGATAAACACAATTTCTTTTTTATCACATCAGCTGTCTCCCACCAAGGCAGGGAGACCAAAAAAAGAAAGAAACACTTATACCATCATTCACACACAATCACTGTCTCCAGAGGTGCCTAGATATGACAGTTAGATGTCACCCCAAACGGCCAATATCCCAAACCCCTCCTTTAACCCGTTAAGTGTCCAAACGTAGATCTACCTTTTTGCGTGTAGCGCTCTGACATTGAATTTCTCCATAAAGCATGTAAAAAACATAGATCTACGTTCGGAGTGCTACGTGAGCGAACGTAGATCTACGTTTGGACAGTTAACGGGTTAAAGTGCATGCATTGTACTTTCCACCTCCAGGACTCAAGTCCGGCTAACCAGTTTCCCTGAATCTCTTCGCAAAATATTATGCTGCTCACACTCCAACAGCTCGCCAGGTCCCAAAAACCATTTGTCTCCATTCACTCCTATCTAACACACACACATGCCTGCTGCATGTCCAGGCCCCTTGCACATAAACCTTTTTTTATCCCTTCCCTCCATCCTTTCCTAGGACAACCCCCTACCCCTTCTTCCCTCCACTACAGATTTATATGCCTTCCTAGTCATTCTTTCTTGCTCCAACCTCTCTAAATGACCAAACCATTCAACAACCTCTCTTCAGCCCTCTGAATAATATTTTTAGTAACTCCATATCGCCTCCTGATTTCCACACTACGAATTCTCTGCATAATATTTATACCACACATTGCCCTTAGACAGGACATCACCACCTCCAGCCTCCTTATTGCTGCAGCATTTACAACCCATGCTTCACACCCATATAAGTGTTGGTATATGTATCTATTTAGATATGGATTATATACAGATATACATATCTGTATATAGTCCATATAAGTAAACATAAATATGTACAGGAATAAACAGTTGTGTAGCTAATTATTAATGTGTATATTAATTTTGCTATGCCAAATTCTGGCAAGGATTTATTAATTTGTATAATATTAATTTTGATGAGCCAAGTTTGTATTAATGTACATTTAAAATTTATATATACATGTAATTGCTAAGCTCAAGTAGCTAGGATTTATTCAAAGGTAAGTTGTATCAGTGTTGTAAGTTGTAATCAGTGTTATTAATAAAGTTGAATTTAATACAATGCATCATGGCTGAAAATGAGGAAATTAATATAGAAGACAAACATATGGAATATAGAGTAAAGAAAGCATCAATACAGGCTAGAAAAGTTCATGTAACCAAGGCATATAATAAGTGCTTGGAATTAATGAATCAAGAAACTGTGAATACTGATGATTTAAAATTGTATTTAGATGCTTTAGGGAATAGATATGATTCACACAAATTATATTACAACAAATATGAAGGAGATTTATTAGTAAACTGTGTAGATGAGACTGAAATAGATCTCATGATTAATCAGTATTATGAATTAGAGGAAAAGATTCTTTCTTGTTAAAGTCAGGCCTTGAATAAATTAAAATGTGTACACCAGGCAGTTGGTCAGTCTGCTCCAACAAATAATATATGTCTTTGCCAAAACTCCCAGAATTGTGTTTGCATGTGTTTAATCCTGGAGAAAATTGGGAGGAATTTTGGTCAATTTTTAAAGCAGCTGTGCATGATAGGAGTGATCTAGCCTGTGTAACTAAATTATTTTACCTCAAAGGACAGGTAAGAGGAGATGCTCACATACTGATACAAGAACAAGAAGGCCTGAGCTTGCTACCATCTGCAGCTCATAAGACTGCCATCCCCACGAGCCCCTTTGAGGCGGGGTAGATAGCAGACCAGAGGCCTAGCTTCTCCCTACGAGCCCCGTGAGGGCGGGGAATGTGGCTAGGCCTGGGGACACTTGGTCCCAAAGATGAGGAGGTACTTGTACCTCCTCCCATGGGAGACTTAAGTCTCGAGACACTCCCCAGATAGGGAGCCAAGGCCGGGTCACCATTACTTGGAAAAGACCCGGGCCGGGAGAATACCAGCGAAAAAAAAAAAAAAAAAAAAAAAAAAGCCTTTCCCAATGTAGATGACTCTTACAAGGAAGCAGTTGACTTATTGAAGGTCACTTATGGTAATATAGAACAAAGTAGGTTGGATCTAGTGAATATCATTGTTAATTTAAAATCTCCAGATCACACTTACAAAGGTTTACAGCAGTTTAGAGTTAAACTGGAGAGCACTCTCAAAACTTTAAGTAATAAATATAATCTGAAGGAATCAGACTGGTTATTGAGTGCCATTGTACAGAATAAATTAAGCTGTAAAACACTTGAATGGCTCTCAAACAAATATCACAAGGGTTATTTTGGTCTGGAGGAAATAAGACTAGGTCTACAAGAACTAATTGTTCAGTTGTAGACCAGCCAACTAACTCATTTTAAAGATGCAACACATAATAACTCTGAGGTATCTGTCAAGTTTCACAAAGGGAAAAATTATCCCAATGTTGTTAATCAAAATTCATTTCCTAAAAAGAGTTGCATAGGTGCATATCAAGTAGCAGGAATCAGAAATAATGATTCTCCACAAGGTAAGAAGAATAAGTACCCTCCTAAGAGTAGCCCAGTTAATAAGAAACCAGTCAGAAAAAAGAGAGATTGTCTTTTCTGCAAGGGTACTCATTTTTCTAAGAATTGCAATGCATACAATTCATGGAATGATAAAGTTGAAAGATTGGAGGAACTTGACAGATGTATCAGGTGTTTGGGTATCACAATGTAAAGGATTGTTATGCCAAATTAAACTTCTGTTATCAATGCCACAAAGGAAGACACCATATAGTCATGTATAAGGGTCTATATGATAATGTTGATAATAATGATAATGTTGACAATCCTGACACAACAGTGGCTAATGTAAAAATTGCTGCTAATATTAATAATGATGGTTTTGCTGAAGTAGCCTTACCTGTGTTACAGGTAAAAATTGATGATAAAAGGTATAAATCAAAAAATGTAACTGCATTATTGGACCAGGGATCCCAGCGTACTTTTATAAAACGTAAATGTCTTGATGGTATGAAAGTACAGATGGGAGATCCCACAACTTTAAAATTATCTGGTTTTCTCTCGGATAAAAGGTCTCAATTGTATGACACTGTTTATGTAACTGTCAGGTTGGGCAATGAGAAAAAACGTGTTAATGCAGTAATTGTAGATAGACTTCCAGAGAAAATATCTACAGTAGGGCTTAGTAAAGCTACAGAAAGACTTTCACATAATGTAAATTTAGCACCTTCTGGGGTAAGTGATGATTCTGTAGGCCCAATAAATATTTTGATAGGTAGTGACTATTATGCCTCCTTTGTAAAGGGTATGGTAAAAAATGTGGTGTCACCCTTTTGAAGACTGCAGGAGGCCATGTAATGTATGGTAGGATTCCTCGTAATAATAATTCATGACTAGAGGAAACTACAAATGCCATAACTGTGTGTCCTACTCATGAAGTCGTGCCCCAGTATAATTCTTTCATAGAGGATGGTGTTGAGCCAGTGCATAAATTGTGGGAATTAGACAGCATTGGAATAAATGTAAATGAAGAAAGTCCAGACGATTCTTTTACTCAAGAACAATACCTGAGAGATGTAAAATTTGAATCTGGACAATACTGGGTACGACTTCCGTGGAGACTGAACCATCCAGAATTGCCCACTAATTACAGAATGGCATATGGACAATTAAAGGCTCAGCTCCGCGAACTGAGTAAGACACCAGAATTGTTAACTGCCTATAATGATATAATTGCTGAGCAGTTAATTAATAAATTTATAGAAGAGGTACCTCCTGAGCAAGCCAAAATTTATGGTCACTATTTGCCACATCACGGAGTGAAGAAGGATTCTAAGACCACTCCTTTGAGGATTGGGTTTAATTGTAGTGCCAGGAGTAACAAAAATGTACCTAGTTTAAATGACTGTTTGATGACAGGTCCGCCGTTGACGGAAAAATTAGGAGATATCTTATTAAATTTCAGAGTAAAGAATTATGCCTTTACGGCTGACATAAGTAAAGCTTTCCTAAGAGTGGGTTTATAAGAGGCTGACCGGGATTGTACCCACTTCTTATGGCCTGAGAATCCTATTGACCCA